CCATTTGTTTTAAAGAATTCAGTTCTGGATCCGTATCCGAGACATGCTTGGATTGATCGAGTTCAAACTTCACACACACAAGGTACATCATGTCACAAATATGTATGTGCATTTGTTTCATGATCTTATTAACGATAGCCAAATGGCGGCCGCTTTAAAGCCGAAAATGCATTGAAATCGCACATTTTCACCATTCCGGACCCGGATCTCAGTTATGCATGGATGGATTTTGTTTAAATTTGGTACATACATTAAACATAATAGGACCTTGATGCACGTCTTTTTTTTTTTCGGATCAAGTTCGAAATGGCCGACTGGCGGCCATTTTGTTAAAGAATTCAGTTCTGGATCCGTATCCAAGACATGTCTGGATTGATCAAGTTCAAACTTCACACACACATGGTACATCATGTCACAAATAGATATGTGCATTTGTTTCATGATCTGCTTAACAATAGCGGAATGATGGCCATTTTAAGGCCGAAAATGCATCAAAATCACGTATTTTCACAATTCCAGAACCGGATCTCAGTCATGCATGGATGGATTTTGTTCAGATTTAGTACAATGTGTTGTACATATGCAGGTGCATTTCGGTCATGATCTGCTTTGAATGTATATGTCACTCAAATATGAACGGAACGGAACGGGGACGTGTCATTGACAATGACTTGTTTTATGTTGTTTTTCCAAATAAACCTTTAATGCATCTATTTAAAAGCATTTAATAAATTTCAAACATTGAACATGTACCTCGATGTGGTGGTATTAAATAATCTTGGTACCAATAATCACACGAGTAGCCATACAGCTACTCGATAATCTGACAAAAATTTGAAATGTGCTTCTTCTCATTGCTGTCAGTGGAACAAACAACAGGCCTTATCCAGTGCATTGTGAAGCATTTCACGCTGTTACAAATTTATTCTTGAAACGTCTACATCAGGGCAAGGGTTATGGACAGTGTAAAATTCTAAACTGTGACACCTGACCAAGCTGGAGTGTCTATAACTAACAATTGTGTGAAGCAATGATCTACACGAACCAAAAACTGATTATTACTAATATGAAATGCAAAAACAACTTTAATAATTATTAATCTTCATGCAGACAAAAAACAAAGTGTGAAGTTACAGAAATAAACTGCCCCCAAAATAGGTCACATGACCAAGAGTGGTATAAATACCCAAATTAATTTTAAACTATCATCAGTATGTCACATCCAACCAACTGCAGTACAAATACAAATCATGTAATTATTTGGGGTTATTACAAATTGGAATGTATTTCTACAAGTGCTACACCCACCATTTGTTTCTATGCAAGATATTAGAGTATAAATATGGCCATTCAGAAAAACTGTACTTGGGTGCACAACTATATATGAATAACATAACTACACATATTAGAATTGGAACCCTTTAATTTAATTGTGAGAAAATGGTTACATTACATTTCATTTCCATACTCAATACATAATGTTACAGTGAGCAATCAACACACAGTGACACACAAATTTGTGAATGCTTGTATGTGTTTGATATTCCTAAAATCAACACACATCATAGTTTTGAAATGAGCGAGAAATGGGTACTGATTGCGAATGGTACAAAATTTTACACAAATCAACTATCAAGTTTGCAAGACAATCAAGCCTTAACAATGAATATTGTCATAATTGTAGAAATTTACTGAATGATAATATCATGTATGCGCTATCTTGGTTTTCATACATGACAGTTCAAATATTGTTATACAAGAAAATAAATATTCAAATGAGGCTAATTAGTATGCATGGATTAGCACAGGATTGTTCACGCAAAGTTTTAAATCCTTTCAATTCCATCACGTTCTTTTGTACGGTTCATTGCCATATCCCACTGGTTCATATTCTCCAACATTAGCTTCTCTCATTCGCCGGCGGCTTAACATATTTTCAACTCTTTGTTTATCCACTTGTTTCTTAGCAATGACAAAGGAGGACACTGCTGCAGTGATTACAATTGACCTGTAAGGTGAAGTGACAGAGAAAATTACTTTTTGAATGGCATGATATTGCTACAGTTTGTATTCAAAACCCTTACCAGCTGCTACTTTGGGGTGTCCATCACACTGATTGGCTGATAAAAATAGCAGGCTAATCTGAATAATCTAATGTGCTGAGCAAATGGAAAACAGTTATACATTTCCCCACTGTGCTATATCAACTGGTAATGGCAGGAAAGCAGAAAGCACATAATGAACTAACATGGTTAATAAGCAAAATCTTAAGCTGCTTGAGACATCTCTGGAAAGTGATTGACAAATAGAACGGTAGTCCAAAAACGTGGGGACAGACAAGGGTCCCAAGCGTGTACTTGTATGGTAAACCTCTTGTTTTCGTCTCAGTGAAAAAGTACCTGGGCTATATGGTGTCATCAGATGGCAAGGATGAAGCTGATATGAAGCGACAATTGCGGTGTATTTATGCTAGGACAATTTTTATTTTACGAAAATTTATAAAAAGTTCAGAGTACGTTAAGTGTTTGTTATTTAGAACGTATTTATACAGTATATATTGTTTGAATGTTTGGTGTGATTATCGTACACAAATTGTGAATACTGTGCGAGTGGCTTATAATAACGCTATAAGATTGATCTTTAGCCTTAAACTGGCTAGCAGCGCTAGTGGTAATTGCGTGAATAGAAATATTTTCAACTTTGAATCTCTTCAGCGCAAGGCATTATATAACTTCAGTCAGCGCCTACTTACGAGTGATAATGCTTTAATTCGTACTTGTGTCAACTCTGACAGTTTTTTCTTATCCAAATTTTGGACTAATCTTAGACGTTGTATTTATTAGTGTTCGTGTTTGTTATGTATTTAATATGGGACTTTTTTGGCCTGAAATAAAGGATTAATAATAATAATAATTAAACCAGGATGACATCCATAGCTCCAGTTCAGTAAATTTCTGATTTTGTGTTGTGATTGGGGAAGGACTTTTCAATGTACCCCCACCCCTTACTCTAAACCCAACCCTCCAGACCTCAATTCTGTTGTATATGTCACTCTAGATAACTATATGCGTCCTCAAGAGGGGCATATATAATATTTTTGAGGGTGCAATAGGGGGTAGGAGTCCGGTTAGATTTAGGATTAGAATAGGAGGTACATTGCAAAGTCTTTTCATGGTTGGTCAATACATAGTCTCATGGTAATACTGTAGAATACTTTATTTTCGCTTGGAATTTATTTTCTCTGGTTTCGCTGAAGGGATGATTCCGTGAAAATAAAATCCAGCGAATATACTTTTTTTACTATATTTCACATTAAACTCATTACAAATCAGTGAAAATAAAATCCATACAAAATGCCTTTTCAGCGAAAATTAATTCCAGCGAAAATAAAGTATTCCACAGTACAATGTACTCCGCATAGTGATTAAATTAAACCATACAAAAAATGCATGAGTAAATCTCAGCACTGTAATATTATAACTTTAAACTAAAAATCTGATCATATTCTAGCAATTCCATGACAAGCTAATGTCTCTATTGCCCATAAGTTGGTAATCTTTCTGACTGAAACCAGTGTAATAGATGTTGTCAACGCTTGCATGTATCGCAATTAATGTGTGGTTACAGAATTGTCACTTACAACATTCTTATACTAGACTGTTGCTGAAGAGATACTTGTAGATAGTTTAGTCAAAAATTAACTTGAGAGAGAGAAAGAGAGATAAGATGTGATTGCGATTGTTCCGTTGGTGGTGGTGTATTAATTACTTATATTATCCATCTGTCACTGTAACACCATAAGTTACAGCAGTCCAAGATGGCAGGAACCCCCCCCTTCCCCCCCCGCAAATGGTCACTGGACTCCCTCGCATGAGTGGTCACGTCCAAGATGGCGCAACCGTGAACTGGGGAACATCGTTGTAGTGAAATCATCAGTACTTCGGCTCCGAAATTTATGTACGGCCACATTTAACACGACTGGACGCCACACACAATGTGCTACAGCAGGTACTATACTACGACATTTGGGCCGAGTTCGTATACTGGAATGGGTTCGTGGGTCCGGGCTCGTCCACAGGCGCTCGGAACGTTTTCTGGATAATAAAAAATGACCTAAAG